TAACAAAATTAACTAAACGCGGCCGCGGACCGTGGATGGATCCGGGGCCCGCGTGTACGCTCCAACTGAGGACCGTTCGCTCTACGTTCCCAGCTCCACTGGATGCGCAAGGCGTGCACCAAACGTAACATTTTAGTCGCGAACCATTCGAACGCAGTTGTGTTCTCTCGCTCTCGTGCCTCGTTCCATTCTCGCGAGAGAAGAAAAGAACAGAAAGGGAAATTGAAGAAAAGAATGGGAAATTAAAGAAAAGAAATGGAAATTAAAGAAAAGAAATGGAAATTGAAGGAAAGAAATGGAAATTGAAGAAAAGAAAGGGAAATTAAAGAAAAGAAACAGATCTCGCGCGCTCGTATTAACAAAAATCGTAACATTTACAGGCGACGCTGAAACACTTCGAAACGAAGTAGATCCATCATTTAAATCAAAGCTGCGCGCCACTGATTGCTTACGAGCAGCAGCGGCTCGAACTTCTCCTTCCTAGTTTACCCCCACTATGGTCGACAGATTGCCTCGCCCGAGTCTCCCCACCATTGGTCTTCCCGCCACGACTCGAGCCAATCAATTTGAGGATCATAGTGGGGGGTAACCCGGGAGGCGAAGATCAAAGCGTTAGCTGCTCGTGAGCAATAAGATCCGCAGCTGTGGTTCACAGTATTCGATCGAACGAGAAAACAACCGTTTTTAACCGTACAAAATAGAAATCAGACGGGAACATTACGAACTTTAATAACGCCTTTAAATGATCATTCCGACGATTGGCCAGAAATTCGTTCGTAGATTCGCTCGAATCGTAAAACGAAAATTTAATAACCGATCCACACCACGCTCTGACATCCAGTGGTCCTGGGTTCTCGAGAAACTATCGCGAACGCGCGCACGCGCGCTCGAAGTCCCAATCGCCGCATTTAATAGTAAATACATAACCATTTATATCACACAAACTTTTAACAATATACAAAATGTACCCTATGTACAAGATTAAATTACACGATCCATCAGCGCCGATTCTCTCACTCTCTCCCTCTATATTCCTCCAATCGGTTTTCTTTCACTCTGTATCGCAGTTTTTTCGGCCTGTACACGCTGAGCGTAAAGCGCGCGAAGTCGATGGAAGGACGAGGTGGGATCGACAGGATGGATCGACGTAGATCCCTTGCCCCGTTAGTGATCGTCTCGTCGAGCACCAATAATGCGTGTGAATCGGCTTCGCGCTGCTTCGCGCTCGTGCATTGCAAAATCGTCGGATATATTGCTCTCCTGATTTCTCGCCTCGGATCCTCGTAAGCGCGCGGTGGCGGTCAGTGAGACAAAGGTTCAGCTAAGAACGAGACGAGTAAACGAGTAACGATCATGTTGCACGGAGCGGAGCCGGTCGTTCGGTCGCTTTAAGTCGAGATCGGTGATCTTGTCGATTCTCTTTCGGAGAATTTACGATAATGATCGTTTATTGTGATCTATTGTAGTAACAAGGCTGCTTCGATTGGCTTCTAGGATCCTACGAATCCTTTATTTTGTCTAGTTGTGCCTGTAAACTTTTTCCGCCGAGTACACATAATCGGGGACATGTCGATTTTTCTAGGAGGAATCAGTTGGTCCTGTTTAGGCTTCATTAAAGAGAGATGCAAAATATGCTTTAGATAGGTCTGTTCGAACCTCTAATAATTGAAAACCAATTCTGGGATATAATTATGTGAAATCTGGTTAAAATATGTAACTATGGACAGGGAACCGTTACTTAGGCCAAAGTTTTTAGTCCTCAAACAGGAGAGGCTGATTGAGAATTTAATCCGGTTTGTAACTCTGAATCCTTCATTTACCTCATTTCGTATCTCAGCGACACGAGTATATAAATAATTCTTACGGTAATAATCGAAATCTATGTATGATTTGAAATTACAGCGCCTAAGATATTCAAAAGCATGATCGTGGAACACCAGGAATGTATTTATGAGGACGTTGTCCCCCTCAGAAAAGAAACTCAATATAAATTTTTTTACCTTCGTGTTCATGTGACTCTCCATTCCCATCAGAATCGACAAGAGAGACTCCACCGTCGTAAAGCGAACCGAGGAGAGCCAATCTCCGCGTGATTTACACCCAAAACATGTGTCTTTAGTTTCGCATTGAGCTTCGAACGTGCCCGAGCCACCGTGTCGTTTCTCGTTCCTCCCGCGATCTTCCGACTTCCGGGACTGCACACCGGAAACAGGAAAAGAGCCAGAGAGAGAGAGAGAGAGAGAGAGAGAGGGGGGGGGGGAGAGCGCGCGTTTGTACAATCTACGGGGGATGAGGAGCCGGGAGAGGGCCGCGGATCGAGAACGACATCGGGGGCCCGGACGATAGTAGATACATCGTAACGTGTTCACGATTATACATTTACGTAAATGTTTATTGCGGATGTCGAAGACCCTGCCACTTAGAAAAAGAGTATGTTACACACGCTCCATCGTTGCCTTGTTAAAACGCAATTACCCGGCGCAGACCCGGTGTATTCTCGTATATTCGTCGCAACGACAGTTTCCCCGGTTGCTGCTCGAGGGGCTCGATTCACATTTCTCGATCGCGAGAGTCCGTCGTCAATTACTTTGCTGGAAAGATTGTGATGTTCGTGATCGATCACGAAAGACGGACCCATCGATGGTTCGTTAGGTTCGCGATCGACGCTCGGGAGACAGACGTCGACGGATAAATCGTCGAATCGATCGAACGCACTTCGTTCGTCGTTGCCGCCATCTTGCCGCTCGCAGCGCCATCTTATCGCTCGAAGACGGCGGGAACCGTTCTCTGTCCTTGTGATATGGCGACACGATACACGCGCGTGGACCGACGTTCGTTGTTCAACGAATTCGCGTAATGAACCGTACCGTGTCGTGGTGTTTCACTCTCGTTTTCAAGATGGCGGACCACGTAGCGTCACGGAAAGAAAAGGGACGACACGGAGCGTTAACAAGGCGGATTCGAATGATAATTTTGCTGGTTCGATGGTTTCACCTTGGGCCGGCTGGCTTTTTTTTTATTCCGTGGCGAGAGAGACTCGATTAACGATCGCGGGAACAACGAACGCTTAATGAGTTTACGGAGCCGGTGGTGGCCCTCCTCCCCTTGGCTCGACGCGACGAAGGGACCGGTAATTTTCAAAGAAAGATAATTTTCTAAGGGCCAGGCAAGGGGGGGCAGACCTGACGCGGGCCACCGCTTCAATCGACGAATTATCCGACCCGGTCGACGCAATTTTCTTGCTTCATACGTGACAAGTTTTTCGGACCCTCGGACTGCAACGTCCGCGGCCAGGTCCCGCCGATCTCGCCGCTTCCACGGTTTTTCGACACGGTAGACTGTTGGATCGGTGGCGTGCACGGAAAAATCAGATTCACAAAATTATATCGATCTTCTTGCCAAATGGTGTTTATGAGATTCTTTTACTCTCCTTTAACATTTAGGCTAACGAAAATTCTAGATTTTGACAGGACAAATTTTTTTTTGCTGGAATTGTTACGTAGAACTCCTTTTTTTAAAAAGTAAATGCTCGAACACAAAATGAAAACGCACTGGCGAAACGGTTCATAGAATATAGAAAATACTATGGGGTTTACCAATTACGGTAATCTTTTTTCTTTGTTTTGTATGATCGTCAGACTTCTTTAACAGAATCTTCTACTAAAGTTCCAAAATATACGTAACGAATGAACGAACCAATTATCGCTAATCGTGTCGTTATTCCTTAGAAAACGATATTTCTCCTGCGCCGAACCAACACACCTGTGGAACATTCGCCCACCCACAATTTCGAAAGATTGCTATAATTTCGTTAACTGCTTCGACGGTGAAATCAAAATCGTCGTTACATCACCCGATAAAATGACCATAATGAAATCCGAAAAAAGAACGTATCAAAAAGATCGTCGTGTCGTCTGAACAATATCATCGGTTCGATCTCTCGCGACAAGTGTGACGCCCGCGCATCCATTAATTAAGAAGAATAACGCGAAAATACGTCGAGGGTTCTGTCTAACATGCGATTAACCGGATCAGCCGCGGTCCGATAATTGAGCGGTGATGAGCATATATCAAAGAATCGAACGAAGCCATGGGAAAAACTGCCGTGTTCACCTGTGACGGCTACGCGACCGACAGCTAAGCACGCGGGATAGGGAACGGCCGGTTGCATTCAGAGACGCTTCGATTATCCTCGATTCTCCGTGATTGAGCAAAGATTATTGATTAAAGGGAGGACCAGTGAAGACACAACAACGACAGCGTGTTGCTGATCTGGCCCGCGGTGCTATCGGGCGCGGGCTACTCAAAACGGAGAGTTACATGCTAGTATCGAAGTTCGTCTCGATCGTCTTCGTGGTGATCGGGGAGGGGGAAGTGGGGTAGGATCGATCGACGGCCCCGCGCGCACACACGCACAAGAAAAATCCTTTCCCTTCGACCAGACAAGGGACACACGTCGAGAACGTTCACCCATAAAGTGATTGTTTTAATCCAGAAAAAAAAAAAAGAAAAAACAAATTCATTCACCATTTCATCCCAGCGGACTATCTTGGTCCCCGTTCATCGGGAATCCATAAGATATATATGTATATCTGTGCATGCACAACACACGTAGCGTCTCTTTCACAGACAAGACATGTCGAGTCCACGCGATCCAGTCGCGATCGTGGGACCGCTGCAAAAGACCACCATTACAGTCATTGTTTCACCGTGACCGGATATGACGACCGAGGGTTGATCGGGGAGAGGGGCCACATGGTTTTGTTCTGGTAATTTTTTTCTGCGAACTAGATGACATTAGCGGTCATCGCTGCTGGGTCGTAGGTCCTCTCCCATCTTCCCTGGTGTCCATAACACGATGCTCAGCCATTCAGACGGCGCTCTGACACACCTCTCGAGCACACTGGTTCGAGACGAGGGTGGCGGCCGGTACCGTTCAGTCGCAGGTGTCCTGTGCCCACGGAGACCAGTCCTGATAGGTCGAGGGCTGCAGGTGTGTCTGCTGTACCGCCAGTCCCGGATGTACGAGGCCCATCTGATGGTGATGGTGATGGTGGTGATGATGATGGTGGTACTGCTGATGACCCGGCGGTGGCGGCGAATAGGGATCCCCACCGACGGCGACGTCCGCAACGTCTACCTGGGACGGTACGACGGCGGGCGTCGGCTGCGGGGAGGCTTGTACCTTCTTCGGGCGACCGACCGGGTTGCCGCCTCATTCGCGGCTCCTTCGAGGCCGACCGACCTTACCTTTTCTGACGGGCGCGCCACCGTTACCGGCCGCCGCCGCGGCGGCTGCGACAGCCACGCTCGAGGACTTGACGATTTTGTGCCAGTCCGTCTCGCAGACCGGTGATCCCGACAGTAGGTAGTACCTGGTCGAAACAGAATGAAAATTGATTAGATTTTTGAGGGGACTGATGGCAATAATAGGAGAGAATAGGGGGGGGGGGGTAATGACGGTCAGTATTGTTACAGTAAAGGCTCCATGAGAGTTGATTAGGAAGTTCTTCGTGAGAGTTTCTTAATTATCCCCACCACTGGGAGAGCAGTGGAATCTGAGGTGCACCGTGAAAGTTCTGTAGCGTTCCCGAGTTTCAAACTCTTATCGAGCCTTTACTGTAATGGGAAATTAAATGTCTAAGGCGTGCAATTTTGATGTTTAGGGTAACGTGACATTTTCTGCTGCACGTCTAGACGGAGTAGGTAAATTTTTGCTACGCAATTCGAGAATAGCAAGCGTTTTTTGTTTTTACGAATGAAAAACGACTAGTAAATGCCCAAATTACTGCCAGTGTCCCTAATGCTGTTACTAAACTTATTTTACTTAATAAAAATGGAGCATATGAAGAAGTTGTACAGAATATTGTATTATTAAATTGGGATTCTGATTTACATGAAAACAAAAAAATATATGTAGGTACTTGTATGTATCTGGTATTTAAGAATTAATGGTGACAAATGAAAGTGCAATTTAAGATGACGGGGAAATAATACTAGAATTGTAATTTTACTATTCAACTTATATCTAGTGTACAAAGTGAACTGTTAACGTACATAATAATTACTTTAGTTTTTAAGGTGACAGTTATAGGGACACTGGGATTGCTCGCAGATTTTAATTATAGATTAATTCGTCATGTTTAATGTATGAAACTATTTCTTTTTAATGAAAAAGATGACAAATAATATTATCTTCCAAAGTGAAATGATCTTTATGTTGAACAACACGTAAAATGATTAACTGAAGTTACGCTACAATCTTAAGGTGGTAGTAATTTTCACATCTACTCTAAATTCAGTATCTGAAGTTTAATTTATGAACATCAAATGGTCTGTCCATGTTACAGTTGCTTTTAAAAGACTCTAATTTTAAAGAATATACAAAGAAAGACGTAATAAGATCCTATTGGTACGACAACGAACCGAGGTTCTTCAAATTGATTCTATTGTCGACTCAATTTGTAGATCCCCTATCACTGTCGATTCTGTCAGATTAAATTTGGAATTCGAGAATTGCCGTAAACACGATTCACGAACAAAGAAAAAGGATTCGCAACGTCGAACAAAGTCCCATAATCAATCGGTAACGCGATTCCGTCGATGCGACAGGATATATACGGAGATCGATGCCCATAAACAAGTTTGCTTCATTACAGACCCGGAATAATTGTTTCCCTCCTCCTTTATTACAAAATCCCCAATTGTAGCCCCCGCACCAATTAACCGCCGGCGGCACGCCTCTTTTCGAACCCTTTAATTGCCGCATTTCCTCTCTCGTACCACTGGATTCCCTTTTGCATCCCCGGCCGATTCAACCGATTTCCCTCGTATCGAAACTCCCCTCCGCCTCTGTCCGCGAAACAACTCTGTTTTCCCCTTCTCTTGGAACCAAAGATACTCGAGACATTTTTTTCAATTGCGTGTACTCGTGTGTAACATGCACAATCATTGAAAACGATACTAATAAGGTCGTAAAATCGATCGAATATTCTAGCTATAAATTCTAAAGAAATTCGAATCATTTCGAATACGTACATGTGACAAACAATTCGAATCACTTCAACACTTATGATCATAAAATATGATTCGAAACTTGAAACACTTGAAAGTCTCGATGATTCAATACTTAAACTCTTGGAAGTCTCAAGAAATTTTGGATGATAATGCTTGATTAGTCTTGAGTGTTTAGGCCCTGAAAGTTTCGGAAGTTTCGGTAAGTCCTGAAAGCTTGGTGAATATTCAGTGTCCTGTCAAAGCATTCAAAAAGCATCAGATTTCGTAGATGCTGAATATTCACCAAGCTTGCAAGACCTATTGAAACTTTAATGACTGGTATTAAGACTCTTGATTTGCTTGACTCTTTCTTCACTCTTCAATTTATCAAACATCAAGGCATCAGTTTATCAAGCATCAAGACTTTCTTGATTGACTTATCAAGACATCAATTTATCAGACATCAAGATTTTCTTGATTGACTTATCAAGATTTCAATTTATCAAACATCGATTCTTTCTTGATTGACTTATCGATGCTTCAACTTACCAGGTATCAAGACCTTCAAGAGTTTCAAGCACCGAAACATATTCGACGCGATTCGAATTTTGCATTGTATTGAAAAACTATGAATCACATCGAAATCGAATCGAAATTGAACATTTAAATTTACAACATTACCACATCGTTTGCGTGGTCTATAGTAATCTATACGAAACAGTCGTGGTATACTAGCTTATTAGATCGCGATCATGATCTTACCTGTCGCCGGAGACGAGTTGACTGCCGCATTTACTGCATGTAAAGCATTTCTGGTGAAACACCGATCCGCCCGCCCTCATCACCAGCTCGCTGGCAGGTATCGCGTTGCTGCAGCCCGCGCAGGCACCGCTGCTTCCGAACATCCTGAAACAATTACGAATACCATGGATTAATTAGTCTGCATACATCATTCCCGTGATATTGTCGTCGTGGAATACAAAGAAATAACATCGACCAAAACGTGTTCATTCCTCTGTTCGATTGCTACTTCATTATATTTAAATAATATTATATTTTAAACCCTTGCCCTATAACATTGTCTCAGACTCGTGTTGACAATTTTAAAGTTGATTCAATAAAGAAGAATATTATTCGATTTTCTTTGAGTCGAAGTGAAATGCAACGTTGCTGGCATTAATATTAAATTTTACAGTAAAAATACAGTTGCGATAACTACAGAAGTTTCTGGGAAACTAACGACAACAATGTAATTCTGGAGCCTGCAGACGTCAAGAAAATCGTAGGGCAAGGGGTTAATTATATTTAAAATTTATTTGAATGCTTGTAACTTATAAAATCATTTACAAGGGAGGTGGGTGGGGGTAAAGTCGTTTTTCGAGAAGAAGAATCATCAAACACGATTAAATTGATTTGAAATTAGAGAATTAAATATTCGTTCGGGTTAATGTGCGAGTCTTGTAAACGATAAGATCTACAGCGAAATATTAATAATCGGACGGTATTAATCCGCGGAAATAAATTATTCCCGGTTTTATCGATGGTTCGTCGCATTATATACATATATAGCAGGGCAGCTGGTATATTCTAATGAGTCCAGATTTATGTCAGGCGCGTATTATGAATTCGTTAATGTTGACTGAAAGCTTGTATCACCGCAAAAACGTAAATGGACGTGTATGCTAAACAGATATTAAATATATATTATCCGCATTATCGGGCACCGCCGATAAAGCAGCTTCCATCCCCCTCCTACCTACCTACCCCTCGAAAGTGATGTGTTTATTAACCTGTCCGATCGATATACCGGTACTTGTTATGACTCATTGAGAGGGTGTACCGTATTTTCGCGGATGTCACCTAACCGTGTGTGCGTGTGTGTGTTTCGAGTATATTAAAATTTTACAGTTGAATATTATTCCGGATAATTGCGTAAAATAGTATATACTTAACGAATGAAACGCTGACTTAATAATACACTCGCGGCCGCGAATCGGGACGCATCATCCGTCCATTTGCAACTTTATAAATATGCAACCAGGGGGAGGAGTGGCAGGTGCAACCTGTTCGGTGAAACACGTTTTTTGTTTTTCATCCGATTCGCTAATCGGTATACGTCTGGTTATAACGTCTCTTCATAAATCGTGTTGTGGACAGAACGTATTAAAATGGATTGAAATGGCCGTCGTCCAACTGATTCTCGGTGGATCTTGGATGGTGACATTCGCACCGTCTTACGAGCGGCCCAGAATCAAAATTCATCGGTTGGTGGAGCTCAAGCAACGATAAATTTTTAATCTTATAGTTTTATTGTGGTACAAGTATACAAATGAATAAATTACTAATATCGAAAAAGATTTCTAATGATTTTTCGGGTATTTTTGTCCCCTATTTTTCATTGAGATTAAAGAAGGTGTTGAGAAGAACAATAATGCATGGGAACCAATCTTCCATAATAATAAGTTTGTTGCGAGTGTTTTTCGAGAATAAAAGAAATCTCATTTTTACCATTTAAACTGCTAAGTTTTGATTCTGCAATAATGAATAGCAAATATTTACTTAATATTCAGCAATCAGTCAGTATATATTTCTATCGATAAATTGTTTTCGTTACAATTCGCGAAACCACCCCTCGAAATTTCGACCCGAGCGTACTACCTCGAAAACCACAGGAAATACATGAAAACTTCTAATGAACGAGGTTCGCGGTCTTTTACGTAGAATAATACGGCGCTAACAAATTATCCAAAATATAATTTGTTTATAACAAAAAACTTCGAGGGATGGTTTCACCCCTTAAAGTCGCGTCTCAGTCGATAAAAAAAAAATACGTGTCCCTTACTTTTTACTGCTCAACAGACATACAAAGTTTCATCAAAATCGAAGCTGAACACTTCCGTGCCTTAAGTAGCTATCGATGCATTTCTTCCGATAAAAGTTACGAGTAAAAGTATCGATACCTTGACGGTATCAGTTGCACTTAATGCAGCCATCGTAACACCATCGAACAGAAAGACACCGTGTAGTGCACACTGTTGACAACGTTCCAAAAAGAACTCGCCGGAACAAGATCCATAAAACTGGACCGGGTCTGCGCTATTAATCCTTATACATACATACAAATACATCAGAGGGGGGATGGTGGTAACGAAACGACTCCGTGAGGTGAGACACGTTTACGTGTGTGTGAAAAGGGGGTCGTCGGAAAGCCCTATAGCGGATGGAGCGAGAAAGGCGACCAATTACTGGGCGAGCAGCGACGGAGGGCTCGGAGAGGATGACATTCTCGGGAGCGGTTTCAGTACGACGACGACGACGGCGGCGAGCCCGGAGAGCGATAGACACGAGGCGTTTCCAATTAAATCTTGCACCGGTCTCGTCGCGCAAACACTTTCTAACTAAATGAGGTTAGGCCAGTAACAGAGGAAGCCCCCGTTGCGGCGGCCGCGTAGAATCCTATATTCAAACCGGGGACACGGGGGTGTGTGTACTCCTTTCTTCTTTTCTCCCTTATTATGCCCAGACCGTAACCGGGTGGTGCCCCCACCGCCATCGTCGTCGTTTCCAGCTGCTTTAAACGAGCACCTCTGCGCCGCCACCGATTATAATAAGGCGTCGCGTATAATTGTCGCGGCGTCTTCGCCAGGTAACACGCGTACACACGCAACCCCGACGCACACACCTGTCCTCTTCCTCCTACTTTTACCTTCCTAAACGGTCTCCGAGTCTAGCCGCGGGACAGAGAAAAAAAGAAAACGAACGGAAAGAAATAACAAACAGCACAAACGGACCACGATGTATGAAGAAGTTCGCGGGGCTTTCAACCGACGAGGACGACGACTTCATTTTTCCGTTGCGTTTTCGTATGAAATATTACGCTCGTGTTACGGTGACACGAGAATGTACTGTGGGTTTTAATAGTCTGTAATACACTGCGCGGTGTAAACGTAAAAGCACCTTAAACGTTTCAATTTTTATGTATTCTGGTTAACATAAAAATGAATCTAGTATGCCATGTTTGAGGTTCTTCAATGTTTCTTTAGAAAAGGATAGATTGTGTTCACTTGAGAAAAGTGGTTCGTTTTTATTTTAATAACAATATGTAAGGATTGAAAATTTTAGGGTGGTTTTGTAGTTGTGCCACGCTGTGTATCGGATGAGATTTCTTTTCGATGGTGGTTAGATTTATTATTTTCGGTGGTTTGTCATTCACGATTGTGGGTCAGTGTTAACCCACTGACGACCGTGTGTTTTTAACACTTTAATTATTGGATAACGATTTGAGGAAATATTGCACTAGATATATTGAACTATCGCTCAGAATTTACCAAAAAAACTGATCGGACCCCACTATAGAAATTAATGGTAGTTGCGTCCATGGGCGTAGCATGGCACGTAGCCCCCTCGCCCTTACAGGGAAAAAAGTGTCCTTGGCTCTACCCTAAAAGAAACGAATTGGACCCCCCCCCCTTCAAAAAAGAAAAATTAATACTATATATGCAAAAATAAATCTAAAATCCACTTAACCTAAAATTATAAAATTTGCCTTAAAATAAATTTGGCCCTCTCCCCGACTGCTAACCTGGCTTGATGTTTTCTTTTTTGCATATACGTGCATATTCTTTTCCCTTGCGTACTGTAGCTGACGTTAAACGTGTTCAGAGATGTATAACGACCTTGAACTGAACTTTAAATCCTAAAATTAATATTCCTAAATACACTATTTAGTTTTCTTTTTAGATTAAGAAACATCCTCTCTTCCAACTCGAATTTCCTCGAAACACAACCCGCTCTGGGCGAACAATCGCGAATCATACTTCCACGGAGAACAATTTCCCTCGTTTCTCAGTGAACCGACCCAACGACGTGCCACCCTATCCTTTCAGTTTTTCAGGAACGCTCGAAGGGCGCGCGAACCTGCGTCAAAAAGACGACTACGATGTCAGAAAGGGTGGATTAACGTAAGGAGAGACACTACGAACTTTCATCCATCGAGAACAATGATTCGTTACTACTGCAAAACGCATTATGAACGTCTGCAGAAGATCGAATGAACCGGAAGACTCAGCACATCGGACTGAGTTTCGAATTCTAGAATGGTTTTCGCGCCCGTTCTCTGTCTCCTTGAACACGAAACGGAATGAGACCAGTGGACCTCAGAGGCGGTATCTCGAGAGATGCCCGAATAATCGGCTTTGTAAAATTTTCTTCCCCACCCCCCATCCAGTTTAAAGCTTTATAGGTTCCTATAATCTTTAAATGTATGCTTCCTCCCCGGAACGCGAAAATGTATGCGCGCGCAAGACGCCTGCGCGTCGTGGTGATTGCGACTGTGTGTCATTAAAATTCCACGCTTTATGATCAGCAGTCTTTTCTGAAATGGTTATTAATAGTCTCGTGACTCGTAGCAATTAAAAAAAATAATCAATGTAAATATTTGGGTAGCGCGCGTGTGAACGGTAGGAACGTCCAGAAACTCTCTCGACGCACGATCGCGCCCGATGAAAAATCAGGTTATATTCTGTCCTCGAATTAATCGGGCGAATTGTCCATCGTGACTAGAAAAATAAAAATCACTTTCGTTTCCCAGATATATATGTCTTCCATTGTTTGGAGACTCTCATGCCGCCATTTGTATTTCCCGCCGACGATATATCGCGGGAATTCCGTGAACATTGACAAAGAACGAATTGGAATCGGTTAAAAAAATCGAACCTAATCACACAAATATATTGTCTATTAAACTACCTAGCAAGAAATTAGTAATCAAAGGCATGCAAACTTCCAAAACATAACGAAATATGAATTATCGAACGTTTTATATTACGAAATCTAAAAGAGAAGTGAGCTCAGTCGTTCAGATCCGCCATTTTGAACGCAGTTTCTCTTCAGTGTATCCTCGATTA